TAGTTGTTAGCAGCGCAGTCCTCATCATAATAATCCTCAACAGTAGACTCGTCCGTCGACTGTTTTGCTCTTTTCCTAATTCATTCATTCATTCATACACTCATTCGTCTATCCGCTCATTCATATCTTCATTCATGCAATGAATTTCGATTGATCAATCAATCTATTGATCCATCAATTCGTTCAATTATCCTACAAATTAAAAAAACAGTTTTCAATGAATGTATTAATAAATAAGCTAGTCACCAACTAACATGCTAAACAACCAACCAAACAATCATAACCAGCAAGCCAAAGAACCAGCCAACTAACCAACCAACCGACCAACCAACAAGCTAACCAACCAACTAGCCAGCCAGCCAACCATCCATCCATCCATTCATTCATTCATCCACCCATCCCTCCCTCCCTCCATCCATCCATCCCTCCCTCCCTCCATCCATCCATCCATTCATCAATCCATTCATTCATCCATCCATCCCTCCCTCCATCCATCCATCCCTCCATCCATCCAGCCAGCCTACCTCAGAGGACACTCAGCGATGAAGTGACCGATCTTGCCGCACTTTCTGCAGCCGCGCGAACTCGGTGGTCCAGATTTGTTGATGGCTTTCGAGTTGAAGAAATAATCCTGATAATGATGTTGTGGTAGTGTGGTGGGGTTGAGGTGATAGCGATGATCAAAACACTCCTCAATATCATAATCATCATAATCAGCATCATCATTACCATCTTCACCATAAAAATTACCATCGTCATCAAAATAACCATCATCATGACCCCCACCTTCATTATCATCACCACCTCCATCCCCACCATTATTATGACCACCACCACCAACAACAACACCACCACCACCAACAACAACACCACCACCACCAACAACAACACCACCACCACCAACAACACCACCAACAACACCACCACCATCACCTCTGGGGCAATTCTTGCATCTTGTTGCGGAACGACAAATCGGTTCCTGGCATGCCTCAAGGTCTTCAGAATGTACAGTGCCACTTGGTAGTAGTTGTAGTAGAAGTGATGATAATGATGAAGAAGACGATAATGATGACCAGGGTGATCATGGAAGTGATAGTGATGATTGTGAAGATACTTTAATCATTTTATGGTGAAAATGGAGATGATGCTGACGGTGATTAAGATGATGATGACGATTATGAAGACTATGTGATGATGATGATGATAGCAACGATGATAACAATTATGATAACATTGTACAACTGAAGAAACCTGATATTGAAAAAAACCATCACTGAAAGACAACAAAAACAACAACAAAAACAACAACAAAAACAAAAACAACATCAACAACAGCAACAAAAACAACATCGTCATCAACAACATCATCAGCCTCAACAACAACAACATCAACAACAAACCCCACTTACTAATCCTCGACAGACCCGACCCAAGGTTGTGATCTAGAATGAAGGGGTCCTCGATGGCGATCAGACAGCCGCACCAGGACTTCTCGAACTTTCTGACCGGCTCCAACTGCCTGATCGAAATGACCAGGCTGGTGAAATCGAAAGACTCCGAATAGAAAATCATCATTCGAAGCCACAACTCTCCAACTGAGAATCTGTTGCGACGATAATCCGACCATCTCGTCTGGTGGGTGGAATGATTGGTTAGTTGGTGGGTTGACTGATCGGTTGGTTGAAAAGTGGGTGGGTTGATTGAGTGATGATTGGTTTGATCGATATATGGCCAACCTTAATGACTTCGAGATCATCAAAGAACCACACATTCCACTTCTCAATGATCGTTTCTTCGTTATTCACGTTATTGAACTGATGGTGATGATGAAGATGATGATGAAGATGATGATGGTGGACAAGAAACAAACAAACGAACGACACATCAGCACAGCACGGCCCACCCACCGCACCACAAACCCATCACAGGTGGCTAACCTTTCTCTAGCACTCATGAACTCGACACACACGCGTACATAAAACTTTCTAAACACCACATCCATTGCGGAACTAACATGGGGGCTATGGAGCTCCCTCTCTAATAAAAACCAACGCACTCCCTACAAACTTATGCCTCACATTTATACACCATCAAGACATTTCCCACCCACACACCTCTTGCAGAACGGGCAGGACGGGCGGATGAACTCCCCTCTGGAGGAAGAAAATCACCATGAGTGTGTAAGCGTAACTGGAGAGGCGGCCCTTTGATGCATCATCTATTTGACACGACTGTGGTGATGGTGGTGGTGTGAGATGGTGGTTAGGGTTAATTATGATGATGACGATGATGTTGATAATGATAATAATAACAACAACAAATAATGATAAAGATAGTAATGATAACCTTGGCCATCCTCTTCATGGCGTAGACGAGTGGCTTCACTCTTTCATCGATTTCAGAATAGGTCCACAACAACCTGGTGTTGTGCTGGGCCTGTGTGTGTTGTTATTATTGTGGCGATCAAAGAACCGACCAACCGATCAACCGACCGACCGATCAATCACCCAACCAACCAACAAACTGACTGACCAACCGACCCACCAACGACTAACCGACCAACCAATTAACTCACCGACCAACCATTCAACCAACCGACCAACCAACCAACCAGAATATTATAGAAACTGATATCACATTCGAGTTGCGTGATTGAAGACAGCTTGCTGGTCAGTTTGATGATTGGCACCTTGGCGGTGAGGATGGTCTGAATGTTTTCGCACCAACCGACCAACGAAAGTTTCGCCGCTATCGACTTTATGATGGTCGTGAAGTCTAAATCCTAATAAGGCGATTATTATTAAATTTACTTTATGGCTGCATAATTGCATGCAAATAATAAGCATAAACAAATTATATATCCAAATCAAACAAAATAACCAATTAGTCAATCAATTAGTTAACCAATTAGTCAACCACTCAATCAATAAACCAATCAATGAATTAGTCAACCAATCAATGAATTAGTCAACCAATCAATGAATTAGTCAACCAATCAATCAATGATCCAATCAAAAAATTAACCTCAGCGCCCTCTTTGTTCTTGAAGGTCAGACATGCGTCAATGTCACTGGAAGTCGACATGAAACCATTCCTCGAGGAGCCGAAGGTAGTCAACATGGCGTCTGAGGTGATGATGACGATGGGATGGTGACGATGATGATGGGGCAGTGATGATGATTGGGTAGTAATGATGATGATATGATAGTAATGATGATGATGATGTTAGTGGCGATTAGAGTGGTATGATGGCGATGACGACGGTGATGATGATGATGATATGGCAGTGATGATGATGATGATGATGATGTTGTTGATGACGAACAATAACATATCAGCGATAATGAAGATTGTGATGATGAATGGAATCGAAATATATACAATCAGCCACAAAAACAATAACAACAACAACAATAATAATAACAATGGCAAAAGTACAGCAACAACAACAATAGAAATAACCTGGGTAAATCTCCCTGATAACACTCTCCAGTTCTTTTCTCACTTTCTCCCTCTCTCTTAGCTCTATCTCACTTGGTTGGCACCTCTCTAGAAAGGAAGTGGTGATGATGATGTGATGTGGTCACGATGATGTGATGATGCTGATGTGATGATGAAGATGTGATGATGAAGATGTGGTCACGATGATGTGATGATGCTGATGTGATGATGAAGATGTGATGATGAAGATGTGATGATGAAGATGTGGTCACGATGATGTGATGATGTGACGATGATGTGGTCACGATGACGACGACGATGATGGTGATGACGACGATGATGATGTGATGAGGACCACGATAATAATAGTGGCAATTTAATGATAAACAGTAACGACAAGGGCAGCATTATTGCAGTGATGGATGCGGTTAAAAGTTATTACTGAAGAGAAGCCGACCACCACGTAACAGTGATGCTACTCCTACTCCTACCACTACCGCTACCACTGCCGCACCTAAAACTACTACTGCTTATCAATCAATCAATCAATCTTCGTTTAGCTTCCAGAGACCCAGTCCCCCAGAGGTAGGACGTCGTTAATTTTGCCATCAACTTTTTGCGCCAAATTAGGCGATCAGTTGTATTCATTTCATTTAAATTTAGAGCTTTCATGTCTTGCTCGATTGTTTGCGATACTATGGCTAATAATAATGATAATAATAAAAATAATAATAATAATACTCACCAGCATTATTATTGTTATTATTATTATTAGAAAAAAATCACTCACCCATGATCTTCATCAAAATCTCGTCAAGCACTTGAACATGCTCATCATCACCATAATCCTCATCACCAACATCATCATCATCGTCACCATTATGATTATGATTATTATTTTGTAATGACGAAGACGAGAATGGGAAAGATGATGGCGACGACGATGGTGGCAATGATGATGATGAAGGTGCTGATGATGATGTCGACCGGTGTCTCGGTACTATTGAGGGTAGAATTTCTTTGGGGCAGTTGCCCTTCGTGTGACCCATGCCCCTGCAGAGGACGCAACATGATGGGGGGCACTGTGGTGGGGATGGTGGTTGAGTTGGTAGTGAATGAGATGATGATTGAAATGATGATTGTGAGGATGATGAT